CTCTCTTTCAGTCCTGGCCACATCTTCAAAGGTTCTAAGAGGCAGTTTTAGGTTTGCTTTAATGTCTTTTGAAGGCACACTTGTACTGCTGGGGGCTTCAGAAACCGTATTGTCTTTTAGTAGTTTCTTTAACATAGCAGAGTTTTCCTGAACTGTGCTCTTGATGTCTCTCAGCATTTGGAGGAGCTCATCCTTGTCTGTTGTGTAAAATGAGTTATGCTATAATTATAAAAAAGAGAAAAAAACTTCTCATATTGATTATGTCAAAAGAAGTTGACTCACCATCAGCTGACATTCTGTATGTAGATGCAGGTGTTACTGCAGGAAGTGGTTGTAGCTGATTATTTGACATTCCTTGAGTGCTTTCAAGTCTCTGTCTTTTTAGTATTCCAGAGAATCCAGTGGCTAATAGATATGACCTTTATTTGAAAAGAAACAATACTTTAAATAAAACAGTACAAATTAATTATTTTGCTCTTTCAAAGGTCAAATCTTTTGAAGAATTTTTATTTTTTTGGAACAAAATGCAAGTCTGTTACTTACCGTTCTTTCTGTTCTTTGATTTCTTTTTGCCCCTCTTTTGCCTTCTCAAAAGTGACTGCAATAAGATAAATATTTTATTATATTATTTGAGAACTTATTAGACAGTACAAAATCTTAAATCAAGTTATTTTAAAATAGTGACCATTACCACATTCTCTGTGAAAGCTAATGTTTAGTTTCTCCCATGGTTTCCCTCCTGTTTCAGCTTTAATTCTGTTCTGAACAGCTTCCATGCACTTGTCTGGTGATTTGAATGGGGGCCAGCAACATTGTTTCTTGTCTAGGCTCAGCCAGTTTGATGCTACCACCATCACCTCATCTGAGTCTTGCAGAGTAACAATTGCATACATGGTCAGCCTTGAGGGAAAAAAGAGAGAGCGAGAAAAGGAACAAAAACAAGACAGCATTTAGCTCTGATTGAAAAATAAATATATTCAATTTTATAGTAAATTGGAAAGTTGAAGGGGGGGGGGGGTCACTTATTTTTTCAGAAATTAATTCTTTCACAAATTAAAGATGATCTGACTGGTCAACTTTTTAAATTTCATAATTTACAGTTATTATTTTTCCATTGTCTAGACCAGTGGAGCCCTTCCAACATTGCACATTTTGCATGTCATCTTAATCAAACACACCCGATTCAGGTCAGCAGCTCATTAGTAGACACTTTAAGACCTGAAATAGTTGTGACAGACAAAAGTCTGAAAATGTGGTCTTATGGAGGCTTCACATTAGCAATTTTGGTATGCACCTGGGTTCGTTTGATGGTTTGTTTGGATAATGTACACGAGTCTGGCTAAAAGGTTGGTCTGGTACAGTTCCCTTTCATGGGAACTTCGAACTGCGTCCTCTAGGGGTTGCTATGGGGAACGCCTCATCGTGACCCGTGTCTGAAGCAAACATTGAAAAAACACCAACTCGTTGGCCGGCGACAGCCATGACGTCACTACCGGTGCGACTATAGTATAAATAGGCGCCGGGAGCACACATCATTCTCTTCTTCGTCTTCATTGACATTTCTGTTTGAAGCGTGCATTTCCAAGGAAAAAGTAAGAGCTATCTCTATTTATTATGGCGAGCACTAGCAGAGCATTTAGAAGGTGTGTGCATCCGTGTCATCGCTATTTGACACCAGATGACACACACGATCTATGTGTTGTTTGTTTGGGCGAAGAGCACGCACGCGATGTCTCCGAGGGGGCAATCGGCGTGCACTGCGAGCGTT